TTGCAGCTGCTGGTCCTCTTCTTTTCACCACCATCCCTCTGTCTGTCCTGCGTTCACTCATCACTGTGAGCTTTGGCTCTTCTACAAAACATGACTGGTCCAAACAGCCACAAACAATCTGGTCTGCAGAGGGTATCATCACTGCTGACCTTCCCTCTATATAGGACCTGCACAGGTAGGAGGTCAGAGGATGTCCCTGCAGACCCACAAATCACGTGCAGCAGGGCTATTCAGACGTCATCATGCATCTCATGTAGCGAATGGCAGATGTTGTGTAGAAAGGCCTTTAAAAGCAATGTGTGGGTAGTTCTGATCTGATCTTATATTGTGTCACCAGAGCAGAGAAACCCTTCTGCTCAAGACTGTTCTGTAATTCTTCTCTGTTCAGATGTTTCCCCACCTTGTTGATTTCCTCCCTGCACTGGAAAAAAAAAATGGAAATCTAGATAATGAATTTTAATTAAGTGTATTTGTTTTGGACTGAGTAGGTAAAAAGAGACATTTTGCCAATGGAACAAGACAATTTAAACTTAAAATAAGAAAACACAATTGCATTGCCTTATTTCAAGTGCATTCTATATAATTATCTTATTTTAAGGGTAAAACACTCATTTCACCGTCAAACTTTCTAATTTACCTTCTCAAATTATGAATAAATACACTTAATTTAAGAAAGTTTTACTTATTTCTAGATCGTTTTTCCAGTGTGACCAACTGCCTCATGAGAACAGAGCTACCCTTGCTCTCATCACTGCTTTTCGTAAACTTGTTTGTTGTTCATTTGGTTGTAAGCGAGTACAGGCGTGTTCACCTGAACAAAGGTCGTCATTATGTTGAATTAATATTCTTTGGAAAGGGGTTGAGTCACTCAGTGACGTATGGAGCCAAGTTTTTTCTCCTTGTCTGCATTGAAATGTTAAAGGAATGTAAATTAAAAATAACAAAGCCTAATGTTCAACAAAATTAAAAGCTGTTTTAGGACTGAAAGCTCCTCCTGCTGTTTAATAAATGAAAAGGAAACAATTTGGACATGAAGAAGCTCTCTGAGCTGCTTGTTTCCAGCAGTCATATTTTGAACAAAACATAAAGTTGTTAAGTTAACACAAGCTATTTTTTTAAAGACAAATAATTGTATAAAGATTGCCATATTTCTTAAAGCTGCAGTCTGTTACATTGAGGAGAGAGCAGACTTTGACTGAAAATTTGAAGAAAAACAGGTTTCACGCCACTCCCCACCCTCTCTGCTTCACTCATGCCCCACCTCCAAGCTCCACCCCTCTCACAGCATCTGCGCGGCTACCGCATGCGACAAGAAGCGTCCAAGGAGCGTACGCGGCATGGAGTGTGAACCGGTAAGAGCGATAACACTCACCTCCAAGCAGCTAGATATAAGATGCCGGGCGGCAGCGGCAGGTTCAGCGGTGAGAGGGAGGGGGCGGGATTCAGCCTGTGTGAGCTGTGATTGACACTCCATCAGACGCTCCTCTGGCTGTGATTCGTTGTTTTGTCTCGTCCCGAAATATTCTTTCCAGATTGCAATACAGGCAGTAGGCGGGACCAATTGAAGCAGTTTTTTTCACAGGTTACATATCACATGTAGTGCTGTCTGGGCATAGGGACAGTTTTAGCCAATATGACAAAAAAGTGATTTTTAAAAACTTAGACTTCAGCTTTAAATTAATCGTGCTGAATTGTTTATTGGATCACTGATTAGAAAACACTTCTACATGTTGGGATCTGGAGCTGTACCACCTTCCTCCAGCAGAGTGCGCCGTGGGTCCTCCTGAGCTGAGCCTCCAACACACCTGTGGGGCATCTCATCATCAGAGTTCCAGCGCTATATAACCTGCCTTCAGACCTTGCTTCAACGCCGCAGTGTTGAGCTAGTTTGGTTAGCGACCTGAGCCTTGTAACCTGAGAATCTTAGCTATCTCTTTATGAGATAAGATTCTAACTCTTCGTTGTTTTTTGCCTCACAGGAATCCTGTCTCTCCCTGAGGCTCTGGATGAGCTTAACCTGCCGAGCCTGCCCTCGTGAGCCAAACCTGAAGACTCTTCTGTGGATTCCCCTGCAGCTCTTGGCTAAGAGCTGGAAACTCAAATCAAGGTCTGCCCTCAAAGTCAGAAGTAAGACGCTGAAGCAATTATTGGACTCTGCTGAACAAACAGTCTCTGGACCCAACAGTTTCCTCTCTCAAAGAGAAACCCGGACTCCTTCAAGGTATTCCTCAGAAATATCTAAGACTCATAACTCATCAGTCCGTTTGCTAACTGAACTGTCATCCCTGCAGACTCCAGTGAACCTGCCCCCCGACCAGCTCCAGTTCCAGTGCAATATTCATGTGCTTGTGTTTCAATAAACCTTGTTAAACTTTTTATCCAGCCTCCGTGTGTGTTCTGCATATTGGGCTTACTCTGTAACCCATCATGACAGAACACTGCGGCCAAACACTAAGCCCAGCAGGCCACCTCCGTCGGAGGCTTGAGGAGCAAGACGCTCAGATCCAAGGACACGCTCAAACCCTCCGTGAGTTACATACCAAGATTGAATGTCAAAATCAAATGCTTCAAACGTATGCTGGCTACATGGGCAGTGCTAACGCTGCATCAGCAGCACGTCTTTTTCCGGATCCACTTCCGCCTCTAAGGTCAACAGCTGTGACGTCATCTCCTGAGTTCCGTCCTAGTCTCCCTGAAAAGTTCTCAGGTAATCAGAAAGAATGTAAGGGATTTTTGTTTCAATGCCGTCTAATTTTTGAGAACTCGCCTGGCAGTTTCCCTACAGATAAGAAGATGATAACTTTTATTTTGTCCCAACTAACTGGACGAGCCCTGGAGTGGGCGGAGGCAAGGTTTGCCTCCGAGGACAGCTTCAGATGTACATTTTCTGATTTTGTTTCTGAATTTTCCCAGGTGTTTAATCAGGACTCTGATCAAACAATTGACTCTCGAGCTCTGCTAAATCTAAGACAGGGAAATTCCACGGTGGCGGAGTTTTTCATCGACTTCCGGGTCAAAGCCACAGCTTCCGGATGGAACGAATGTGCTCTTAAAAGTGCATATTTTAAGGCACTGAATGACAATATCAAGGATGAACTTGCAACTCTCGACGAACCAGCTAGTTTGGAAGAATTAATCCGCCTAACGATTAGGTTGGAGAACAGACTTCGTGCTAGAAACAGCTCAAGACAAAAGAGTCAAAATTTTTTTGTGTCTGCCCCTGCATTGAATAATGCTTCTGTTTTTTCTGGATCCACAGAACCCGTTTCCAAGCCAAGGCCTAAAACCCAGACTCTCTCTATGCCTGTCCAGGTCTCTCACTCAGTTGAGACGGAAGCCGAACCCATGCAGGTTGGACACACAAGGCTAACTCCTGAGGAAAGACGTTTCAGGGGCAAGTTGTGCATATACTGTGGTGAGACTGGCCATTTCATTGCTTCCTGCCCTGCTAAGTCAAAAGCCGGGGCCCGTCAGAGGAACTGAGGAGTCTGACGGGCCATTTGAAAATTGAAAAGTCTCCTCATTTGATGCTTCCAGCCACTCTGTTTTTCTCTAACCAGAATCTCACATTGTCTGCGTTTATCGACTCTGGATGTGAGCGTAATCTTATAGACTCTAACCTGGTTCTGCAGCTACAGATCGAAACTGTTCCGTTAGCCAAACCACTTAGTGTCTCTGCTATTGATGGGAAGAGACTGCATCAAGTTACCCATCAAACGCAACCTCTAGAGCTTTTGATCTCTGGAAATCATCGTGAGACTTTAACATTTTTTGTTCTTCCTTCTACATGTGCTTCCTTGGGGCTGGGTTTTGAGTGGTTGGAACGACATAATCCCCATATTAACTGGGCTGAACGCCACATTGAGTCGTGGTCGACCTCCTGTCATGAAACATGCCTTCGTTCTGCAGCTCCCGCTGTACAGTCTCCTAGAGGTGGGGGGGAGATGGACTCTCCTGACCTTTCTTCTGTCCCTTCCGAGTATCATGATCTGGCTCCTGTCTTCAGTAAGGTCAGTGCTACGTCTCTTCCACCTCACAGACCATATGACTGTGCGATTGAGCTATTACCTGGAGCTCCCCTGCCCAGCAGCAGACTTTACAACATTTCCAAACCAGAACGTGAAACCATGAAAAAGTATATAAATGAGTCCCTAGCTGCTGGAATAATCCGTCCATCTTCTTCTCCGTTGGGTGCTAGTTTCTTTTTTGTGGGCAAGAAAGATGGTTCCTTAAGACCTTGTATAGACTACAGAGGCCTTAACCAAATAACTGTTAAAAATAAATACCCACTTCCGTTACTAGCATCAGCCTTTGAACCAGTACAAGGGGCTACTGTCTTCACCAAGCTCGACTTAAGAAACGCATATCACCTTCTCAGGATAAGAGAGGGTGACGAATGGAAGACAGCCTTTAAAAACCCCTTTGGGCCAGTTTGAATATCTGGTTATGCCTTTTGGTCTCACTAACGCTCCTGCATGTTTTCAAGCGCTCGTCAATGATGTCCTCAGAGACTTTCTGAATATTTTTGTGTTTGTATACATTGACGACATTTTAATCTACTCCAAGAACCATTCTGAGCATAAGAAACATGTCCGTCTGGTCCTTCAAAGATTGTTGGAGAACAAACTTTTTGTAAAGGCTGAAAAATGCGAGTTTCATCAACCTTCTGTCACCTTCTGCATATTGGGCTTACTCTGTAACCCATCATGACACTACACCCCTAAGATTCTTTTTCAGACTCAAACCAACAAACAAATGCAGGGATTTACAGTATATTTATTAACATGAGTTGCATGTTGTAGTTAATTTTAAAAGCTGAACTTTCATTCTAAAAGCAACCATTTTTATTTTGCAATAATTAAGGCATCCATATAATAATAATGAATATCATTCCTCCTTCTGCTTGAAGACATTAACATAAAGGAGAAAACATGTAATTCACTATTTCTTTTGAAAAAGAAAATGCCGCATAGTTTAACCAGTTAAATGACTGGATGAGGATTTTTTTCCACCTCTTTCTGTAACTTCTTTTGTTTAAAGATAAAGGTAATTAGTTAAACACTGCAAATCTAACTTCAGCTGATGTTTCTTTTAGCCATCTTTACTGATTGTTGTTATTGTGTACTTATGATGCATTAGTTATGTCATCTGACTAATAAAAATTAAATAAAATCAACTGTAAACCCAATTACAAAGCATTCAGTGTTCCAGTGGATCTCACATACTTACTGGACAACGATTTGGCTGATAGGTCCTAACATTGAGTCCACTCCCCTGAAACATGCTGATCCATTCACACCTCTGCTTGTACCTCTTAGCATCACATCCTGCTCTTTCATCACTGAATTCAATAAAATGTTGGAGGAGAAAACAAGTTTAACCTAATTTCCTTTACATTCAAGGTCAGTAAGACTAAAAGAAAAGGCCACAAAGAAATAATTAATGACCGAATTTTAAAAAAGTATACAGGCTGTTGCTGTTAAAGCCAAAACTCACAGCAATATAGTAACAATTACGTTCCGTTCTCTCTTAGAAAGAGCAAACCGGAGCCTCTCCACTGACAGCTGAGATTGAGCATGAGGATGGGCCTGATTGTCTGGTCTCTAAGAGCATAGATGAGGCAGTTCAGACATTTAGGAAGAATAGTTAAAGAAACATAGAGAAAAATCTGCAGTTGAACAGCTACAACCCTGTCTAGGTTTTTGGAGATCACCATCACAAGTGAGCTGTGTACCGTTGAAGACACAGTGAGGCCCATCTGCAGCAGATGCAGAAGCAGAGTCCTTCGAGCCTTTCTGGCTGAAGTTTTGTCTGCAGAGGCTGAACGAGCTGCTATAATGACACCAGTATAGGTAAAAACGACCGCTACGCCTCCCAACACAAACAGGAAATAGGTGGAGGCTCTGTCGTAAAGGTCAGAGACTGGATCAGAGAATATGCTCTCTTTTCCACAAAAGTCTGTCATCTGAGTGTTCTGCAGGTCTTCTACAGAAAATTTAAACATTATAATTATTTGAACCATAACATTTAGTGAAGTAAAAGTCCAAACAACACAAATAATTCGAGTTGTGTTCCTGGTGGTGATGACAACGCTGTGTCTTAGAGGATAGCACACGGCTATGTATCTCTCCAAACACATCACCACCAGAGTTAGTGGTGAAATCCTGTGAGAAAGAAAATAAACGGCTGACAGGATGGCGCACACGGGATACGCAAGCGTTACTCTACCGAGAGACAGGAGGAACATCGACTGACTGAGGACCATCTGCAGAGTGTCTGCAAGCAGAAGGTTAAACAGTAGGAGATAACGAGAAGTCGCTCGAAACACTTCTTTACTTCTTAGTGTAAATAAAGTGATCAGATTAATGAAGAGAAACACGCAGCACGGCACGGTTGTCACAAAAAAAGACACCGCCAGGTTCAGGAGCCCCAGGCGCTGCAGCTCAGCAGTGCTGTTTCCTTGAGTTTTATGAATAAACATTTTTACCAGTATTTAGAAACACTTGCATTTGAAATTTGACATTTCAATAGTACAAATACAGCTTTGGTTCATAAGGCTAAGGGAAATCAACTTCATTCAAAATGCACCATCATTCCTTCCTATGGCTGGACCTGCTTTCAATGCACTATTTATGTCATCTTCAGAGACACCTGCAGCCACTACCCTGTTGTCAAGCTCAGCTAATGATTAGCAAAGGCTGTGATGAACCCACTGAGGACATGGTGAGGCAGAACCTCTGAACTGATGGGGACGGAATATTTTCAGGAACAAAGTTGGAGGAATCTGTTTTTTCTTTCATAGGAGTTCTATAAAATTGTTCTGAAGCAGCCTGTCAGTCAATCCAGGAAACCTTTTTGCAGTTGATCAATCAGTTTAATCTATCCTGAAAGGAATCACCCCTTCCCTACAAGAACAGCATCCTATTTTCCTTCAATAAAAATTGTTGGATTTATGAACATGTGCACAAACAGAACATGCAGTTTTAGTAAACATTGAGCGTTTAGATGTGGAATACAGTTTATTCAATCTGCAAAGAGGAGTCTTTGAATATATAAATGAGAGATCAAGTCCTGAATCTCTGCTCCCTTTAGGTCCCCGTGTCTTGCATGTTTTTTGGGTCTCCTTGCTGCTGTTAGAGTTCTTGCTCTGTTATGTTTTTCTTTTGGATGTTCAGTTTTGCTTTGCTCCTTGTTTTCCTGTTTTTTATGGTTTAATTCTTATTTTATTGTGTTCTATGGTTTTTTCCGGGTTACTGTCTTAGTCTTGGTTCTGTTATGTTTTCTTTTGAGTGTTCAGTTTTGCTTTACTTCACGATTTCTAGTTTTTTTATGGTTTAATTCTTATTTTATTGTGTTTTCTGGTTATTTTCAGTTCTCGGGTTTTTATTTGCTGCACTCTGCTGCCCTCTTGAGTTCTCCTTTTTTCCCTTGCCCCTTACTTGTTTCTGCTCTGCTCACACCTGCTCCCAATCTCCTCGTTAGTCCTCTCTTTGTTTCAGTCTCCCATAAATACACTCTCTGTTCAGTTCCTCAGGGCTGGTTCCTCATCAAACTTCCTCCTACTCCGTCTCTCTGAGCCTACCTCCTTGTGATTGTGATCCCCCTGATGTCACCTTGGTTTCTGGTTCGTTTGACTTGTTTTCATGTTTTGATTTTTGGAATTTTGGATTTCTGGTTTCCTGTTTGTTTGGACTTTGTTTTTTCATATTAGGATTACTTTTTCATTAAATCACCACAAAATTCACCTCTGCCTCCCTGCCTCTGCATTTGGGTCAACAAACTACAACCAAATCTTGACAGCTGCCACACTGCTAACGTATAAAGGAGGAATTTTTACTTAATATAGTAACTAGTTATAGTTAGAAACTGACAGTGGTGGACGAAGTACTCAACTGTAGTACTCGAGAGAAATCTCATAGTCAGATCTTACTCGACTACAAGTAAAGTGTAGTGTAGTAAAGTACTCACTGTTGAAAATACTTGCATTCAAAAATACAAATAGCATTTTCTAATATCAGTACATTTCTGTATTATTTTTAGAGTAGAAACTTGTAACTTTCAGAAACCACCTGATTTACTGACTGGAGCAGAGCTGGGATGATTGTATTGAAGGCAGAGCTGAAATCAACAAACAGGATCCTGGCTTAGGAACCTGCAGAATCCAGGTGCTGGAGGATGTAGTAAAGGGCCAAATTAACAGCGTCATCTGCAGACCTGTTGGCTCTGTAAGCAAACTGTAGAGGGTCAGAGAGGGGATCAGTGATCTCTTTCAGGTTTGAAAGTGCAAGGAGCTCAAAGGACTTCATAACCACATAGGTCAGGGGGACAGGTTTTGGCTTGTTGGGAACAGGAATAATAGTGGAGGACTTGAGCAGGTTGGCACGTGACATGTCACCAGTGAGGTGTTAAAAATGTCTGTGAACATTGGAGAAAACTCATCAGCACAGTGCTTCAAGGTGGATGGAGAGACAGGATCTGGTCCAGTAGCTTTCCGGGGGTTCCGTCTTCTGAAGAGTTTATTAACATACCACTCGTTTTTGGAAAGAGTTGTCACTGAGGTGGGTGGAAGGGAGGAGGCGTGGGTCTTTAAGGTGGGTACAGTGAGAGGTGCCCGGCCCCCAGCTGAGGTGGGGGAGGTGTCATGGGGGGTGGTTGCAGGACTGTCCCTTTTACCCCATTTACACTACCCTTGAAAAACCGTGTCGACACCGGTCAGAGCTCAGTAACTGAGATAACTTATCGTGTGTAAATGGAAAGCAAACTGAACTGAGCCGAGCTAGACACAACCGAACCGAGCTAACTGCAGACCAGTTCCAGAGGTGGGTTTGGCTCGGTTTTTTCCCTGGCTCGGTTCTCTGATAACAAGAGCGCATGAGCAGAACGCGTCATCTCCGTCTGGCTGCACATCCCGATTCACACTCAATTCCTGTAGTTGGTGGTAATGCCCCTCCAGAAGTTGCTTGCCAACCAACACAAAACAGAAGAACAACAACTATAAACAACTATAAACATCCACGAAAGGTTGCCGTCTTCGCCTGACCCGCCGCAAACACTGAATTACAGCAATAATAATCAAGCATAACTTTCTGAATATGACGGGCGCCGCCATTTTGATTTGCTTGATTCCCTCCTTCTTCATCTTCTTCTTGTGTTTTATGGTGGTTGGCAAACAACTTTTGGTGCATCAACTGCTTGATTTCCTCCTTCAATACTGGCAGTAATACCGCAGATCATCACTAGGAAGCGAGGAGTTGAGGAACCGAGATAGCGTGATGTGTAAACGGTCGTCAGAACCAAACTCGGCCTGGTTAACTGATCCGAGCTCGGAACGGTCTCGGCATGGATCGGTTTTTCAAGGGTAGTGTAAATGGGGTATTTGTCTGTCAAAACGACAATAGAAGTCATGCGTTGGTTGTTCATGGAGTTTGGGGGTTAGGCTTGTAATTTCTGATCTGTCTATGTCCTTTCCAGACAGACATAGTGTCATTGGCGGTAAACTGGTTTTGGTGTCTCTCAGGATACCATAATTTAGCCTCTTTCACAGCCTTGCTGACCTTGTATTTTGCATCTTCAATCTGCATTTGTCATCACGCCTGAAGGCTTCTTTATTCAACCTTAACCGTCCGAGTTTGGCAGTGAACCAGGGTTTGTGGTTATTGTAACTCACCCTGGATTTGTGATGGAACACAGAAGTCCTCACAGAAGCTGATGTATGATGTCACAGCCTCTATGTACTCATCTAGACTGTTGGTAGAGCCAGTCAGTAGAATCCAGACAAGCCTGAAGATCCTCCACAGCCTCAGTGGTCCACCACTTTGATGTCCTCACTACAGGTTTGCAGAGCTTTAGTTTTTATCATGAACCTACAATTTTGAACGTAACAGAAGTCATGTCCCCCTGATAGCAGCTGCGCCTCAGAACTTCCCTTCCGGTTCTTTTCCTGGCAGCAAGTTATTTACTAACTCAAACTGGGTAAAACCATATAAAAAAAGGACTATAAAAACAAGAGTAAAAAAGTAACAGAGTTTATTCCAGATCAGGTTGTTACAGGACAGAGAAATTGCTTGGAGTTTGCACAGCTGTGGGCTCAAAAAACATTAGTGAGTGTCTGGCAAAGTTGAGCAAAGATTGAGCCCCAGACAAGGTAATCTCCTCCTTATACCTCATGAGTCTATGTGTTGCATCATGTGGATGTTTAGCTGTCTGTATCAGAAACTGACACGCCATCCATGTCTTGAACTTCATTTGTCTTGCCTCTTTACCCCAGGATTGCACATAGCTCTCCTCTATCAGTCAGGCTCCAACATGTGCCCATATCCTGTGTATTTCTAAAGACATAAAGGCTGTCCAGATTAGATGACCTCCATACACACAGTGACATCCACAATGTGAAGGAAGGCCTTCCACTCCGGCTAATCTGGCTAACAGAATAACAATGCACATGCTGTATAAAGAATAAACCTAAGTTTCTGCTTGTAAATAGGAATCAGGTGAACCATGACTTGTTGGATTTTCCCAGTTTAAGCGCAGAGGACGGCGTGATAACCTTCCCTAACTTTGGTGTAGCAGTGATCCAGAATGTTATCTTGTTTGTTCGAGCAATTACTAAAATGTATATACTTTGGAAGTTCATGAGTGAGGTTTCCTTTGTTAAAGTAACCGGGGCAATCTGGTCTGCGAGTGTCGGCTGTGCGACCTGCACGTTTGCATGTGGCGCGATATAAGCTCTGACCAGAATGAATGAAGAAAACTTACATGGTGAATAGAAAGGCTTACTGTGTTTGATGAAGGATTCCAGGTCAGGAGAACAGTGCTGGATCACTGCCACATCCTTGCACCAGCCGTTGTTGATGTAAAAACAGTTTCCTCTACCTTTCACTTTGCTGTAGATTTGTGTGTCTGTGTCCACTCTTTGGAGTTAGAGGCCTGCCAGTCCAGTATTAATCCACACAGCCACTATTCTGTGAAGCACAAAACAGCAAATAAGGAGAAGTCCCTATTTTTTCCCAGAATCAGTTGTAACTGCTTCAGTTTGTTGGGCAGGGAACGTACAGTACGTTAGACAGGATTATGCTCGGTATTGGTGACTGGATACTTCACTGGCGAAGATGCATAATCACACCGGCATGTTTTCCTCTCCTCCAGCGTTTCGCAGCGTGAGCAATGGAGAGCATACCTTTGACCAGAATGTCCAAAATTTCCAGTGTAGGGAGAATAAAAGTGGGGAATAAATCCTCTGATGATGTTGCCCTGATGTTCATGAGCTATTCTCTGGTTAAAGAGTTCTGGGTTGTTAGGAATTGAGTTTGTGTGGGTTGTGTTTTTGTTTGTTTTCCCTCCACCACCAGTTGGCGCCTGGTTCTCATTGGCCTTCTCACACACCTGCGGATGGTTGCCTCATTACCGGAGGACTTTTAAGCTGCTGACTGCCACTACCTTGACGACAGTGTTTTGGGAAGTCATCCTGCAAACTGGATGTTTTGGACCTTCTCCCCCTGGAAGGATCGTATGAGTTTCAAACTGAACTG